ACAGCCCCCCGTTCAGAATGTCCTGGATGTGCTGCACGATGAGGTTGATGGCCACTGCGGAGAGAGACCAGCGCGGGTCAGGGCCGGAGGGCTGGGCAGGCACGCGGGGCCGCATGCCGCTCCAGGAGGCTGGCCGGCTGTCACCCGAGCTCCTAGGCCTCCCGTGGGGCTAATGTGACCCCCTCCTAGGCGAGTCCGAGAGGGAGACAGGCAGCGCCTGGGACCAGGGAGCCCTTGGCGGACGGGCTTCCGAGCAGACGACCAGAGCCGCGACTGGGAGCACTCAGCCACGGTCCTGTGGACGTGAGCACGGGCCTTCGCGCTGCCGCCATCGAGCTGCGACCTGCCGCTGGCGCACACGCCCACCCCCCAGCCCAGGCAGAGCGACCCCGTGGTGGGCCCGCCCGCCAGAGGTCATCAGTGACAGAGCTGCCTCTCTCAGCATGAGAGACAAACTGAGCACCTCGAGCAAACGGCCACCGCAACACGGGGAGATGTCAAGTGCTTTACATGGTGACGCCTGAAGGACACAGAGAGGAGCCTCCGATTGGGGCAGTGTCCAGACTGAAGCCAGTCATGGGGACAAGGCCCCAAGTGTCCCCACCTACGCGGGACATGCACGCCCTCACAGGCCTGTTCCCAGGGCTGGCGGGTGGGCGGGCATCCTCCATGTCACGATGGCGCCCCGGAGCCTTGCTGGATCACCCTGCCCTGCCCCACGGGTGGCCCCCGGGAGGACTCACCGAGATTGTCTGCACCTCTAGGAATGATCACGTCCGCGTACTTCTTTGTCTGCAGAAAGAGAGATGCACAGCACGTTACAGGGGCTTTGAGAGAGACGGCCGTGTGCCCCCAGGGGACGTGGAGACGGCTTCTCTCCACCCGGGCGTCCCAGGGCCGGCAGCTCGAGGCTTCGAACATAGTAATTTTTATCCGCTTTATCCAGATTGTAACAAACCAGCTTTTTCTTGACTGCCCATTCTGAACGTTCGGCATGGCTGACGGCCAGCACAGAGAACAGTCTCTGAAACCAAGTGCGTAGTAACCCTGTTCCGCACGAGAGGACGCGGAAGCCGAGACGCGCAGACTCCAGGGCGGCGTTCGCCTTGGCCTTCGCCCCAGCGTGGTCCGTCCAGCGCGAGGGCGAACGCCGCCCCCACTGAAGGCGACCGTCACCGGCTCTGTCATCACAGTTTTTCTTAAAAGGCCAACATTAACAGAATTCTTTTTTTTTTTTTTTAACTTTGCTGAGACTTTGTGGGCCCAGAACTGTGTCTGGGCACATAATGCCATGAGTGTGGCATCGTCACCCGGTGTGGCTTCCAGACCAGGACGGCTGAAATGCAGCTGCGTCGGGGCCAAACCCGGCCCGGCCTCGGCAGGCAGTCATCAGGTCCGAGCTCCTGGCTCAGCCGGCAGTGATCTGGTTTTCCCTGAGCTCGGCGTGGCTGGACAGTGAGAACAAGGAGGAACACCCCAGAAAATGCTTGTGCGGCGTTCCGAGCTCCATTACAGATAGGTTAAATGGCAGGAAATCAGCAACGAACTCTAATTTATGTCCAATAACAGATGTACTTCGTGTTCTTGTTATTAAGTTAAAAAGAGTGGGGGAGGTCCTTGGACGGACGGACGGACGGACAGACAGAATCCCACAGCTGCTCGGCTGCCTCTGCCACCTTCCCGGAGCCCTAACCCTGTGACCCAGCCTCACAGGCTGACTCAGAGTCCGCCTCAGCCTGACGGGAAATAAAAGTCTGACGCAGAACATACCCATGGGCTTACAAAGATAGCTTGGCATCGAATTTCTCCAGCAATGGAGAAAGAATCATCAGAAGCAGAGAAATGCCCACACTCGGCCTCACTCTGAACCTCTTCCCAGTCTCCCCCAAAATATCCCCCACACCGGGCCAAGTGACTCTTCTCCCCGTCTCAGATCTTAGTTAGTCCTTGGGGAGTCAGAGCATGGCCTGGCCAGCCTGGGGAAGACACGTGACATGGGGCAGAAGTCCCCTGAGATTAATACTTCCCCGTCCTCTACCCCACCTGCCCCCACACCTCCTGTCCCCCGCAGCCCCCGTCAACGATTTTTATTTTTTGTCTTTCCCCAGGAAGCTGAGGGTATTTCCTGGGCTGACGGCTGGTTCGCTAAAAGCTGAGCGCTCCCCGCCCCCAACCTTCCTTCTGTGAAGGCCACCTCCCTAGAGTCCCCAGCTGCCAGGGAGGACGGCTGGTCTGTGCCAGGGCGGAAGGAAGGAAGCTTATCCAGGCACGGCGGCCCCGTGGACGGGACAGGAAGGCACGCGGGGGCAGACACGCTCACAGCGGGCCGGCTGAGGGCAGAGGGGCGTTGGAGGGGAACCCAGCAGCTGAGGCTCCCCAACACGCCCCAACCAACCCAGACCTTCCAAGATCCAGATGGCCGAGCCTGTCCTGAGAGGTGACGCACCTCCAATAAAGGGGCCCCCACACCCCCTGAACCCACCAAGCAGGGAATGCAGAGCCTGCTGGGGTCTCACAGCAGGAACCTACGGACCACCCAGAAAATGAGTGGCAGGACAGAGCTGAGGAACACCGGGCGGGACACGAGGCGCCAGAGGCTGCCGCGCCCTGGGCCTTCAGGACAGAGGGCCACGCGGAGCAGCGAGCGAGCCTCGAGCTGGGGAGCGCCTCGCCTCGGCTGACGGACCTGTGTGTCTGACTGCATTTGATTTCCAAATTCAGCAACACGCCGAGAACACAACTCACCGGCAAGCAGAATTCCTCAAAGGCGGGCTTCACGAACGTGATGTACTGAGACAGTATCTGCTCGAGGTCCCGCCCTCTCTCGCTGATGTCCCTTAACACTGCAGGAGAAGAAAACGGGGAGCAGGACGATGGTGCGGGGGCCGGCACACGCCCGTCCTCCGCCCGCCCGCCCGCCACGCAGCCGTCCGGGCCGGGAGGCCTGACCGCAGGGCGGCGGGGCCTCTGCGACAAACGGGCCCCATTTTTACGTCTTGCTGCAGGCAGATGTGGCTGTGACACCACGCTCTCTGCGGCAAAAGGCCGTCTGGCCAAGGCCAAGAGGCGTCTTGCTTCAGCAGCATTTGACCCAAATAAATTTGGTGTACGTGATAAAAAAGCAGGCCGGTCCTGGAGAGTTCATAACAGGAAGTCGACTTGGCCCAGAGAGGCGGCGGGCTTCTTGGCCAAGGGCGGGCTGCCAGCAGACCTCCTGTGCCGCCTCGATCCCGTCCCCTGCACCTGCTTGCCCATGTGCTGCCCAGAGCCCCTCTGCTGACGTGCCCACCCTGTCACTCTGGCTCCTGCCCCACTCCGGGCCCTACAGGGGGTGGAAGGTGGGCAGAGGTCCAGCTGTGGTCAGATGTTCCCACTCAGCTCATGCTCTGAGGTTTGCAAACAAAACCACTCAGTGAAGGACAGGGAAACCCAGGAGAAACGGTGGGCTGCAGCTGGGGAGCAGCCGGATGGACCCCAACTCACCTCCTTCTGCCCCCTCGCCCTGGGCAGTCTAGTCGGGGACCTTCCAGCACCTTTTTAAACAGAATCCTTGGCCAAAAATGGGAAAAGGTCCCCCGCCCGTCCAGGGGGCTGGAATCCTGACTCAGCCGCTGCACACGAACCTCCCTGGGCCTCAGTTTCCCCAACCGGCAGAACGTTTCGAAGGCGAGTCTCTCGAAACGGCCGTCCCCACGGGCATCACGTCACGTCAGAGCTGTGACACCTCCCGCCCCACCACAGGGTACCACGCCCATTCCCGGGGTCTGCCACGGCCCCTCGGCGCCTCTCGACCGTTTCTCACAGACTCAGGTGTCGCAGTGGGGAACACTGGTGAGCGGGCTTCTGGGGCGTGGACTTACGCCCCTGAACGATCGCGTCCACAGCCACGCGTGGGTGGGGAGGGGCAGGGGACAGGGAGGGTGCCCCGGCTGCAAGCCCGGCTGGCGCCAAGTCTGCGACACCAGGTGGCTGGAGCGGCGTCAGGAAGCCCGCATTCCGGAGCTGTACCCCCGGCCGCCCCGACTTCCTGCCAGAGCCTCAGTTTACAAAGAGCTCTTCCCACGTGAGCCCTGGGGGCGATGGCTGGCTGCGCCCTAGCACATCAGGACTGACCCTGCGACCCCCGACTGCCCACCCAGACCAGCGCGGGGCCATCCCCAGCTGGGACACGGCCGTCTCCTCGGGCGTTTCGACACGGCCTGCTCCGGCCGCTCCAGGGACACTGGGCCGAGCACGAGCTGCCGAGCCACCACATGGCTCAATGCCACCGGCCCGCAGAGCCCTTGCACATGGGCCAGCGAGCTCCACTCGGCCCACACACAGCAGCGTGGCCACGGGTCCTTCACACGGCACAGATAAAGCCCCAACGAAAAGGGAAGCCGGATCAAAAGGCCCCCAGGCCGCGTCTGCAAGTCCTGCGGAGCCTGATGCCCTGCAGAGCCTGATGCCGGCTGGTCTGGCAAGGCGTGCTTCTCCCACGGTGCCGACGGCGGCAGCCTGCAGGACCCTGCGTCCTCCCCCAGCACGTGCACACGCGTGTACACACGAGCACGCACACACACTGCTCCTGCACGACCTCAGCCCAGGCCGGCAGCCCCCGGGCCTTGGAGGCCTGACCGCGCTTCCTGTCACGCCACTGGAGGGAGCAGCCGGCTGGGGAGAAAGCAGGGGTACAAGGGTCACCCCGTCTGCGTGGAGCCCAGAACCGCGGTTCCTGCTCCGCCACCGAGAGCGATGCGGGTAAAACCGACCCGGACTTGCGTCCTGACCCCACCGACGCTGACCCGTGACCTTCGACATTCGCGCCACCCCTGCGACCCTCACTCGCCTACACTGTGGACTGGCAGGCCCTCCGTCCCGCAGCTGTGGCCTGGGGACCCAGGGACACTGAGCTCTCTAGCACTGTGGCTGGCACACAGGACGTGCCCAACGAGCTTGAGTCTCCACGATTACAGCTCCCTGACGAGACGAGCACTGGGAGGCCAGGACCCGGAGACGGGCGAGCAGTCAGTCCCAGCGGAGGCGGGCCAAGGGCGGACACACACGTGGGGCCACCCTCCCCACGCAGCGTCCACTTCACCCCTCCAAGTCCACCAGGGCGCCCTCCGCTCGGCCTAAGCCGCGACCGTTCAGAAAGACCCGGATGCGCACAACTCGTCAGTGGTTAAACCCATCGGGGTGACAGGTCGCGGGGGAGATGTGTCCCTCGAGTAAAACTCAGACGGATCGGGACGCTGCGGCCATTAAGCCTGTGTGACCTGGGCAGGGGGGCCTATGGCGGGGCACTGACCAGGGGCCTGCCAGCAGTCCTGGGTCCCCGTCCCTGTCCTCCTCTGCCCCACAGGAAGGAGCCACTGCCCCCAGGGCCACGTGACCCCGTCACAACGGTCACCCCGGAATGTGAGGGTCGCATGCCCAGAAGGTATGACACACAGATGGGTAAAACTCAAGCCTCCAGGAATGTCCTGCTGCCCAACAGCCGGCCCTGGCTCCCCGCGCCCTCCCTCCCCGCCCCCCGCACGCGAAGCACACGCCGGCACGCTCTTTCCTGCGTGGACAGGTGACGAGCCTGCAGAAACGGCATGTGCGAAAGGCCCCCGAGTCACCAGGAAAGTGACTCGCCAGTGCGTGACACATGCAGGCAGAGCCGGGAGGACAAAGCAGGGCCCGGGGAGCACCCAGGAGGGCGGGGGCTGCAGAACTGACCTGAAGAAAGCCCAGAGGGGCCACCATCCCCTCGGCCCTCCCCCGCTTCACGGAAGGGTCAGCACAAGCGAGGGAGGGAGGGTCCTGTTCACTCCAGGCCGTGACTGTCGGTGTGAGTGAGGCCAGACCGCCTGGGCGACAGCCCCCCACCCCCACCCAGCACGGCCGCTCCCCGGCACTACAGTGCCACGGGCTGGACTAACGATGGCAGCTGCCCCGGAGTCCCCGGCTCCCAAGGACGTGACCACGCACAGGTTCTGACTGGTCCTGACGAAAACGACGTCCAGCACCTCAGGCAGAGCAGACCCGACCTGGACGTTCGCTGACCAGCATGACTGTGATCGTCACCACCGACCTGGACGTTTACTGACCAGCAGAACCTCGGTTGTCACCGCCATCCCAGGGGGACCGACCATCAGATGATCAACAGGAAAACAGACTCCAGTGTTTTTCCTTCCATGCCTGATGCTGCTAATGTGGCCACAGAGAGCAGGCAGGACCGGGGTTCGTAGCTTTCGGTGACGAGCCAGGCCCCCGAGGCAGAGGTGCGAGGCACGGCCAAGTTCAGGCCTCAATTACCAATCAAAAAAGACTCTGTCGCTGCTGCCTGGCCAGAGTCATGACCCTGAACACCAGGTCTGCCTTTTCCCCAGAAAGAAAGCCAAGCCTGGGAGGTCACGAGAGCCACCACCGTCGCAGAGCCAGCCGGGCGTCTGCCGGGACTGGAACAGAGGCCCCTCCTTCCTCTGCTTCTCATCGCAGACCTGAACCCCGGCCCACCTGGGAGCAGAAGCAACGCTCCAACTGCTGAGCAGAGTGTGGGCCCAGAACTCGCTTGTCCGTCCTGCTGGTCCCGGCTGCAGGTCCAGCCATGAGGAGCACAGCTGGGCACACCGCCAACCAGCTTCACGAGCCAAGGATACCTAACTCTGAGGTCGGCCTCTGGACTGGAGCTCACGACCCCTGACCCCTGACCTGCCGACGATCTGCTGTGATGGGGCTAATTCGTCCTTTCCTGGGTGTCCACGCAGAGCCTCGGCCACCTTTCGTTCCTGGCCTTGGTCACCCCACCCCCTGCTCTGCCACACCCCCCGCCCAGGGGGAACATAAGGCCTGGCAGCTTGGGCAGAAACCAGAACTAAACTGCTGACTTCACCTCTGTGACCTCGTAAGCCTTTCGTGACTGTCAACAGGAAGGGACCAACCCCTTCTTGATGTGACCTGTCGTCTGGGCAGCAGGACCTCCTCGGGCTGCACTGCGCCCGCTGGGCTGGGCTGGGCCGGGTGACCATCAGAAAAGGCACGGGCCTCAGACTCCGGGCGGGCGGGGCATCACGCACCTCTGCGGGAGAGCCGGGTGTCAGCGTCCGTGTCCACGAAGAGCTTCATGTGGAACAGGTCCCGCACCTCCTGGGAGTAGAAGGCCAGGATGCCCTCGAAGAGCACCACGTCCGCGGGGTAGACCGTCACCGTCTCCTCCTTCCTGCAAAGCACAGGGCGGGCGGCGGCTGAGCAGGCGGGGTGCGAGGGACGGACCATGAGCACTGGGCGGGGGGTCTGAGCTCTGGCCACGAAGCAGAAACTGGGGCAGACGTCCTTCCCCTTGGCCTGGACACCTGCTGCCGGACGCAGAGCAGAGACAGAGCAGGCGCGACACCTCCTCCCATGGTGTTTGCAAGGCCACTGTCAGGCCTGGCATCCATGAGCCCAACGCTCTGAACTTTCAAAACCGGCTCAGTTTCCTGCCAGCAACCTCACCCCTCCCCCAGTCCTGGGGCAACTAGGAGGAGGGAGGAAGGGAGGGACGGAAGAAAGGTCCAGAAGGACGGAGAAGAGACAGCATCTGGACTGGCAGTGAGACGCATGACCTCGGCTTTGGGGTCCTCCTCAGTAGACGCGGCCTGGGCCCGTGCCCAGAGGCCACCGAGCCTGTCCCCTTCACAGCCAATGACAACGTCCGGCCTGCTCCAGGGAGCGCCAGGACAGACGCCCCAGCCCGTGCACACCACGGGGCTCGCTCTGGCCACTGGCCCTTCCCAGACAGGCTGCAGCGGACAGGGACAGGGGATGGGGACAGGCCTGGAGCGACGAGCAGCGACCTGCCCGGGGCAAGGCGGCCACGCCCGGCCCGAGCGCCTCACTCACCGGGAATGGGAGACGAAGTCGTACACGGGGATCTGGACTGTTTTCCCTTCGATGATTTCTTTGAGTGTTTTGAAGATGAGTTCGTTGTCAAAGGCATCTGGAGAAATCAGAGTGTTAAAGGGTTTCTTAATTTTAAGACGATGTCTGCTGTTGCCGTGCACAGGGCATCGCTACAGATCTGCGTCTTCCGCATGCATGTCACCCCCTAGGGAGGCAGGTCTCCACCTGCCAAAAAAGCCAGGTTTCCGCCCAAAGCAGAAAGCAAATTCCGCGTCTCGGGGTGGACGAAGAGCCATGTAGGGGACTTCCTTTCCCTCCCTCGACATTCCTTCCCTGGCCTCGGATCTGCTCTCCGCTCTCCAGCTCAGCTCCTGTGCTGGGAGCGGGCACCTGGGGACCGGGCAGGAGTCCTGGGACTGGGGGACAGTGCCACGCCCACGGGCTCTGGTTCCGACGATTCTGAGTCTACCTCTCCCCCCGCCAGCAAGGGTCAGGGTGCAGGTCAGGGGCCGTCAGGGCGAACACCGCTGGGGCGGCCGCCCGGGCCACCGGTGAGCAGAACATGAGCCTGCCCTCGCCCGAGCGGCACGGCGGGGGACAGCGGGGACACGGCCGCTTCAGATCGCGGCCGGAGAAGCAGCTGGGCATGTTCTCTCCTGCGTCTGGCCCCCACCAGTAACGGGCTCACACAGGTCACCCTTGGGCAGGACGCAGAGCCTGTCGGTGTTCACAGAGCCAGCTCCGCGTACTGGTAGCTGTCAGCCCTCCGTGTCTCAGCCAGGGCCGGTCAGCTGGGATGCCCCCCGCTCCTCCCCCCTGACGCCCGACTCACCCGGGTGGTCGAAGTTGAACTGGCCCTTCAGAGCTCTGGCCTTCTGCTCCGAGGTGAGGACGCGGTAGAAGCTGTCCTGGCTCAGGATGACCACCTGCTTCTGGCGGTGGTCCACCTCGTGCTGCCCCAGCAGCTGCACGATCTTCGCACACACGGAAGACTGCGGGACAGACGGGCAGCCGGGGTGACGGGGCGGCCAGGGGCGCGAGCCGCCGCGCAGCCCCGGGGACGACACCCTGGGAGGCGCCGCCCGAAGGCGCCAGCTCGGACGATGGCTCCGAGGCCCAGGGGAGGACACACCCGCCCGCGGGGAAGCCGGGGGCCCCTTCCTCCTCCGGTGTGGGCGTCGGGACGGAGCCAGCCCCGTGCACCTCCTCTTCCATCCAGCCTCTCCCGAAGCCGCTACTCGAAGGCGCCGTGAACTTTCCCCGCCTGCTCGTGTCCCAGCACAGACACATGGAAAAGGCGGCGGAACGTGGAAGACGGGGTGCTCACGGGTCGGGGGCGGGGGCGTCACTCAGCCCCGAGCCTCTCCGTCCAGGCAGAACCGACACCACAGCTCCGAGCCCCACCGTCGGCAGCAAGGCCAAGGCGGCTTCGCCCAGCTTCTGTGGGTCGCTTTGGTGCCAGTCCCCAGCCACGGGCCTGTCGCCCTCACGGCGCACCAGATGTGCACCCCCCGTGGAGCCGGAGTTGCTCAGAAACAAAACACCGTTTCATCCTGTTGCAACACTGAAGTCAACATTTATGTGAAATTTCATAGAATTTCACGTAACTACAGGTAGGCAAGTGATCTGTATGTCAAAAAAACTAAAAGCACACACACACGCACACACGCACGCGCGCACACACACACCCTTGTTCGAGGTATCTGAAGCCTGAATCTGGACTATGTTCAGAAGAAACCAGCTGTCAGAAGCTAGTAACTTGGGGGCCTGAAGAATGCCTTGCGATTCGGGGAACACCCGACATCGGGCTTTGCAAGCGGGCCCGCCCCCTGCACGTGCTGAGCTGCGAGTGTGCCGGACCCCGTCCTCAGCGCCACTTCCTGTCCGGGAACCCCCAGAGCTGTCGGCAGCTGGCCAGCAGGCCCTCCAGCTGGCAGTTTCCAACAGGTTCCCATATCGCAATGGGAAGTACATTGCTCTAAAGTGACCGTCACATGGGAGGTGGCCCTGACACCTTCTCACTGTGCTACTCCAGGGTGAGTGTCCTCCAGGATAGGGCCCTGAAGACCCTCCCATCCAGCCCAGAATCTCTGAATGAGTGACACATTCAGAGCCCTCTGCCCCCGCTCCTCACTGCTGACCAGCCGACCAAGCCCAGCTGGACAGCTCAGAGCGGTGAAACCAGGTCCCCAGGAGGGCTGCTGGCACGTGTGTTCCCAGAGCAACGTGCACCCCACAGAAAGACGGGCAAAGGAGTGCGTCACCCAACACTTTGGAGCCCCACCAAGTGGCCTCCCGTGGGCCACGTGGCTGCAGGACCGGTGGGAGGAAGCCACCAGGCCGGCCTGGGAACAGCCAGCCAGCTCCAGGAGAGGGACACCGACTCGGGACACCCTCCCACCCTTCCGAAAGGGCCGTGGACGTCAGCCGACGCCTGCCCTGAACGGCCAGCAGGCAGCTCATCGTGTGAGCAGGCCAGATGCTCCGTTACTGCTTCAGGCAGGAAGACCCCACCTGCTGCCATGTGACACTACAAACGCTGCTATGGTGTCACCCATGAACACCGCAGGGCCTCCAGGTGGACAGTCTCAGCCAAGCTCTGCGATCTGCTCCCTGCAGGTTCTGCAAAGCGGCCGTCCCCAACCTTTCTGGCCCCAGGGACCGGTGCTCGTGTGAGCATCTAATGCCCGATGCTCTGAGGCGGAGCTGAGGCGGTGATGCTGGCTCTGGGGAGGCTGCAGATACAGGTGAAGCTTCGCTCGGTCCCCCGCTCCTCACCTCCTGCTGTGCCACCTGGTCCCAGGGGGTTGGAGACCCTTGCTGCAAAGCACAGGCTCATCACGCTTCCTTGGTAGTTAATTTTCCTGATAAACATTTCGCTAGCACGGCAAGTCACCCTGGCCCCCTACCCCTGGTTCTTTCTAGCAAATGGTCTCTTAAGTACATGACAAAGGGGGCAGGGATGGATGCTCTGGGGACAGGTGAGTCCCTGCAGGTGTTTGGGAGCAGAAATTAGCAAACTCTTTAAAACCTCACCGCAATGAAATGGATGCACGCACACCGCCCGGCGGGAGCAGGACAGAGGAGGACTCACGCACTCCTAGCGCTAAACACGCGGCCGACTCGCAGGATCAGCGGAGGCCACAGTACACGGGTGGACGTGGAAGAGAGAACACGCCCGGTGTGCACGCCGTGGCTGTGACCGTGTGAGTGTGAGCGACGTGGCTGAGTGCAATGCGGGAAAAGCCGGAAGGTGGCAAACTGGTCAAAAACGAAACCGCCGAGGTCCTTCCACACCACCAAACGGAAAGGGTGTGTGTGTGTGTGTGTGTGTGTGTGTGTGTGTGTGTGCGCGTGCGTGTGTGTCTGTGTGTGTCCCACACTGTTCTCAGAAAGCCATGTTCTAGTCCATCCGCAGCCTGGGGAACAGCTGCCACCAGACAAAGGCAAAACAGGACAGGGCCACATGTCTGCTCCGGTGGTGACACCAGCTTTGCCACCGGATTCCAGTGACTCAGGACAGAACGCCGATTGATTTCAGCCTCCTCGTGCTAGTTCCGAGCCTCAACATGGACTCCGTGGTCACTTCTTTGTCCTCCTCCAGGACAAACAAAAAGCACCACACACACACACACACACACACACACACACACACACACACACACAGCCTGCATCAGGCCGACCGCTGGCTTTGGTGAAGTCGCTGCTTTGGAGCCGTCTCCAAATGGCAGAAGCAGAGAGGGAGCCTGGATGGTCCATTCTTACTGCCTCGTGTGCCCAGGTTAGGCTTGGGTCCCTTTCCTCCCTGCTGAGACGGTGAGACCCAGGAAGCTGAGCCGCTTGTCCCCGGAGGAGACGAGGGCGCCTTCGGCCGAGGCTCAGCGAAAGCCTCCCGCTCGCTGCACGCGGTCCGGCTTCCCGAGCAAAGACATGAGCCTATGACTGAAAGTATGGCCCAGGACCCGGCGTCCCTCTGGGGGACAGACACAAAAGGGACGCTGGCTTCCCCGTTTTAAAAAAATGAATAAAGGAGAACAGCACGTGCCTGCTGGACTCTCTGCCCGATCAGTCCAGGCTGCAGGCCGCGCGTGGGCGAACACGCAACACGCACTCGACAGCACAGGGTGTGTGTGGCCTCGCCCGTCCCTTCCGGCAAGCCCCACCCGAACGGCTCTCAAAAGGTGTTCGGATGCGATTCGTTCCTGCCCTGTCCGCACCCCTACACTGCGGTGTGCGCCTCGCTCGCCACCAACCCCTAAGCGCCCAAACTCCTCTGGGATCGAATAACAGAGGAACCCCCGAAGGGACGCACGCCCCGTTACTCTGTAAAAGACGGTGTGTTCACCACACTGAAAGTCACCACACCTCGCGGGGCCACCGTACGCAGGTGGAGAACAGGAGTGGCAGTGACTGTCCCCCGAATGTGTGACGGTCGTGCTCTACTCATTTGTGAAGCTGGAGCGACTTTGAGGAGACACAGGCCGGACTTTGTTTTAGACCCGCACGAGTGTGTCCAGCTGGTGTGACGAAGGTACAGAAGCAACTCGGCGGAGGGAGGACAGCCTTCTGCAGAGACAGAGACCGCGGAACGAACTTGGCCCCGACCGCACACCTGACATAAAAAGTAACTCAAAACGCATCACGGGCGCATGTAAAGCGTAAAGCTATACAACTTATTAAGAAAAAACAAAGGAGAGAGTCTTCGGGACCGAGTGCTTGGCAGACAGCTCTTAGGCTCGACACCAAAAGCGTGACCCATGAAAGGGAAAGTCAGACAAGTGAATTTCATCAGGAGTGAAACTTGCTCAGCGAAACACTCTCTCTTACGAGGACGAGAAGACAAGAAGCTACAGCCTGGGAGCAAATACTCGCAAAGCACGTATCAAACAAACGACTAGCACCTGGACGAGGTAAAGAACTCTCGAAACTCAACAACGAAAAAAAAAAACCAAACGATTCTATTAGGACACAGGCGAAAGACAGGAAGAGACGCTCCACATCATTAACCGTTAGGGAAGTGCAAATTAAATCCAAGATGACATTTCGCCACGTTCCTATTGGAATAGCAAAAATAAAAAAATAAATAAATAAAAGTGACAACCCCAATGCTGGTGATGATGGGGAGAAAAAGGATCCCTCGCTCACTGCGGGAAGAAAAGCGGACGGCTCATCCACTAGGAAAACAATCTGACACTTTCACAACTAAGCATGCAGCTCCCTACCATGGGATCCCACGGTTGTGCTGCTGGGCGTTTACCCCAGAAATGAACGCGAGTTCACACAGACACACGGCACACGGGCTCATGGAAGCCGTATTCGTGACAGCCCCAACCTGGGAGACCGCAGGTGTTGCTCGCGGGGCGAACGGTCAAACAGCCTGTGCTGCACCCACACCACGCGATACTATTGGTCCACGAGGAGGGATGAAGCCTCGAGGAGGATTATGCTAAGGGAAAGGATGGCAGTCCCCGAAGGTTACATGCGACGCACGTCCATCTCCTCGCACCCTCGACATGACCAATGCGTGGGAACGAAGAACTGGCGAGGGGCTGACCGTCCAGGACGGCAGGGGCTACCGCGGTGACACAGACGCTCAGCAGCCTCGCTGCGCTCTGTAAGACACCATCACGAGGGGGCCCGAGTCGACGGCACGTGGGTCTCTTTGCGTTATTTCTGACACCTGTATGTGAATCTACGATCATCTCCGAAAGAAAAGTTTACCTTACAAAAAGATTAGTGACCATCTGCAAGTTGTCTTTTTCTAAATGTGAGACATTCAGCTTCAAAACTCCTTTTCCTCAAAAACCAGTTAACTAATAACGAATCGGTATGGGATGAATGTCTTTCGCATGTGAGACAGATGTGAATTTGGGAGGCCAAACAAGAGACCCCGTCGTGGACTGAATTGTGACCCCCCCCAAAGATGACCACGTCCTAACCCCCAGAACCTCAGAACGTGGCCGTATTTGGAATAAAGGTCTCTGCAGATGTGACTAAGGTGAAGGATCTCGAGATGAAATCATATCCTGGGTAAGGGAAGGCCCTACACGCCACGACAAGTGTCCTTGCAAGAAACTGGAACGGAGGAAATGCAGACACTGGAACGGAGGAAATGCGGGTGCCAGGGCGAGACGGAGGTCTCCAAGCCAAGGAACCCCAGCAGCTGGGAGAGGAGCCTGGCACGGATTCTCCGTCAGGGCTCCCAGAAGGGTCTGCGACTTCTGGCCTCCAAACGGTAAGAGAACGTGTTTCTGCTGTTTTAAACGTCATAGGAATGTATCGTTTCACCTTATCGCCTTTCTCCTGGTGTTTGCCGTTTGCCCTGAGAGTAAACTATTGTTCACTGGAACACGGGAGTGTCTGCTTTATCAAATATCCTGGTTAATAATTATCACACATGCTGCACACACTTTACCGATTTTTAAAGACTTCAGCTCTACTTGAAAACAGTACGCTGTGCTTGATCTACGTTTCTACGTTTCCTTGGTGACTAAGATGCTCCAGATCTGGCGACGTGCTCTGGGGTCTTCAAAACGAGTAGCAATGACGAGGCTGCGGACGCACCAAAGTGCCCTTTGTGGCAGCTTCTGTGTTTTGATAGCGATGCCCGATAAACTTCTCGGCAAGCCAGAGTAAAAAAAAAAAACAAAAAAGCACGGCGGATGAAATTACCCAATTGCCACAAAGTTCTAAAGGGCGAAATATGGGTCCTTCACAATCAGGCTGGCCACGTAGGACCTGGCTTCACTCCCGACTCCACCACACTCACACCGGTTATCTCTCAGGCCACCTGAGCTCTCAGACTGTCACTGTCCTCGTCAGCTCTGAAGAACGACGGCCATGCCACACATGGGCTAATGTGCAATAAGACAGGGGGTCGTTAACACAAGACACAGGTTCATTAAAGATGACTCTCTGCCCTAAGACCGCTCACAGTTCCATGTGTGCAAATGTTTCCCAGAAACTGTATCGGGAAGCTTTTTACTTTGTAACTCGGCTGAAGACTTCGGCGTGGTTCGCGCCCATCCTCCCTGGCTTAAGAGTTCGGTACTCCGTCCTGCCTCCATCGGTCTCGGTGGTCTAAAACCCGAGCTGAACTTCGCGGTTTCCCTTTTTGTAGTTCCCACCCTGGTCTTTCTACTTACTTGACTTATTCCTACTGCCCTTTTCGAGGCCGCCGGCCTTTCCAGAGGCAACACCTCCAACGCGGCCCATAGCAGCAGAGAGAGCGAAATCCGCCTCCCTCCCGCCCTCCGTCCCAGGCACCCGCGTCCTTGGCTGCCTTTCAGAGGTGCACGTCCCTTCAGAGGTGGTCTCCGCAAAGAACCCCCGAGTGTGCGCAAACTCCCCAAACACCGCTCCAGCACAATGAGGTCTGGACCTTCGCCCGCGCGTGTGGTTGGGATGACCCCGCGGTTCCCCAAGGCCGCCTCCTCTCCCTCGCGTGCCTTGTCTGAAGGAACCGCGGCTGCTCCTTCACTGATGGGCGTTTGAATTGCGCCCAATTTTTTCTCAAATACACGTTACGCGTGGGTCTGTGTATATACGTGTAGGATGAGTTTCTAGTACTGCATGTGCGAGGGCCCGGAATCTGCATTTTGGGGAATTCCCGTATGCCAGCCCAGACAGGCCACCACTGACGCTTCCCACACGCCGCCCCTCTTACTCCGAGCGACTTCTCACTTGGTGCCGTCTACGTTAAACGAGGAGAAACATCTTTTACACACCCAGAAGCTTTCTGCTGTTCTTTTTCTGCAACCGGTCTACTGATATCCTGGCCTGACTTTTCTGCCGAGGCATTGTTTTTTTTTTAATTGATTTATAAAAGCTCTTTCTGTATCAAGAAAATGGTCGTTTCTCATTTGTATCACAAAC